TCAATCAGAAATACAGTATCACTTTTTACAATCTGACACATTCATTCTACTTCTCAAAAAAAAAAAAACAAAACACCATAAATTTCCAATAAAGGATATGCTTATGAATCTTTCGTATCACCCAGGGGTTATAGAATCCATTAGAGGAGTTATTCAGTGACTACAGGTTTTTGCTGGCTACGGCTGCTGATAAAGATAAACTCGGTCTGGTTTCCATAGGTTTGTTTGAAACTGATCTTGTATAGGACGACTGTTCAGAAATTGCATTGCTCTGCTGAAGTCAGTGGAATTATTTGGGCAACCAGCCTCGAAAGGTCTGGCCTCAGAGATTTGGCATCTTTCAACCCCAAGAGAAACCTGGACTGAAAGTTACTTTGAACATTTTATACACACCTCTACTTCTAACTCACAATTCTACTTATACCCTATGGAAAGGACCCAGGCATAAGCTATGCCAAATAGAAAATCAATATGGCTCCCCAAATGTGTGAGCCAATAAATCTTTCCTTTGGAGAAAAATGAAATCTCTACAAGTTTATGAATAGCCTTTAATTATTAAAAAAACAAACAAACTGGCTTTGAAGAAAAGTGAAATGAACTAACAGGGAGATAAGTGGTTTGGTAAAAGACAAGCCACATATGAGTCAGAAAGCCTGAGTCTGAGCCCCTGCTTTGCTAGATGTGTGGTCTTGGTTTTGTCACTTAACCTGAGTTTACATGAGACTAGGAATGGCTCATGGGGCTGTTGTGCGGATTCAAAGAGGGCAGGTAAAAGCCACTGGTAGTTTATGAAGCACTAGAAATAAAAGGCTTTTTATCGTATCCAAACACGATTCTTGGACATATTTGTTCATATCGTAGAATTTACAGATTATGGCAGTGTTGTCTCTTGTACACATCATTTCACAACTGTACACAGGCAACTAACTGGTTCTTAGCCACTAGGAAATCAGGTTTAATTTTGTATTTTTTTGTTTTTACTTTAAAGTTTCTCTGTGGCTATAATGATTTTTATGTCCAGCTATCAATCTGGAGATCATGTTGAGGAACGAGCACTATTGTGAAACTCTGTGCCTTGCTTGGCTCTGGAAATCTACTTCTGGGAGGCTGCATGGAAGGCCTGAGAGTCAGACTGCGTTCAAATCATGATGGTGCCACTTAACTTGCTTCCTTTTCTTCATCTGTGAAATAATGAAAATGATGTATACTTCGTGAAATTACTTCAAGGATTAAATGAATAAATATATGTAAGGAACATCAGTTAGTGCTTGGCAAACAAAAACAAGTGCCATTTATCGAATAATAAGTATTATTATTAGATACAAGAAAGTCACATAAGCCAATGTTTCCTAACCTTTCATTGGTGAATGTGTACAGATAACCGTTTACATCTGGAGTTTGGAAAAGATTTCCCTTGCTCGTTCTCTCTTTAACTTATTCTGTAAGTAGATTCTTTATGTCACCATTACAAAGCCAAAAAGTAAAAAAAAAAACAAACCTTGGTGACAGGTGGGTACTTAGCCAGATGATTGTGAGAAGATTCTGACTACTTCGGCTGCGGAGCCTATCCCTATAGATAGTCTGGTGTTTGCCTCTGAGGCCCAGAAAAGGAAAACTGGGATATATTTGGGCTCCCAAACCTCCCTATTGTGACCATATAAATAGTTGGCTGAATAACTATGGCCTGGTGAGGTTATGCTAGGTTCCTCCCAACGATACTTTAAATCAACCTGACCCTGGTAAGTGGCTGGGGTGCACAGGTTTGCACGCCAAGAGGCAGTGTCGACTTTCACTTGCAAACACGGTGGTTGCTGTTTAGGCTCCAACTCAGATACCTGCCTCTAGTCTTCGGGATGGTTGGGCTGCTCTTCTTCTCCACCACCATTTAGGTGAAAGAGGAACTGGGAAGCCCTGGGACAAGTGAACTGGGAAGTCCTTTCTGAAGGAAGAGATCTGAACTTTCATGTCTGCACAACAATGTCTAACATCCTACTGACATTAAATCTTACAACCTAGCTGTTCCCTCTAGTCATTTAAATCCCAGCATTAATGGCAAATGAAAATGATTCTTCTAAAATGAGCTTTTGTATCTTTGAAGCCTCTTGAGCACTTTTTCCCCTCTGGATCAAATAATTATTTCTTTAATATAGGGCTTTGAGGCATGACTGTAGTGTCATATGACTAATTTTTTTAAAAACAAACACTTCAGAGTTTATGTAAATGAATAAGAACTGTTCTTCAAAACAGTTACCTTGGAAGGCTAGAAGTAACTTATTCCAGCAATGCTGTGATTATGCAAAATATTTCTGGAACTCCTCTTTCAGAAGTGTTCCCTCAGTGGGTTTATCAGCCGCAAGAATAAATCAGTCTCCTTGCTTTCTGGTCCTACCTTCTCTTTGTCTCCAATCAGTATTACCCATTTTGACCTTCCACTTATCTGTCATTTTTTATTCTGAATGGTCTGTTACTAAAAAAACCCAAACAAACAACTCCATTTTGTCACAGGGCAAAGCTTTTCCCTCTTTAAGAATATTCACCCAAATATTCTGGAGGCATTTCTAGCAGAGGAATCTATAAAATATTTACAGCAACAATATTATGTAAAGATATGGAATAAGGAGATAGCCTCCCAAGGTAATGGGACAACACTTAAGTTGATAAGTTATAGTAATATTTCTAAGTCAGTCACATTATTACATTGTATTTTTCAAGTCATTAAATAATTTCCATTGCTTTCTTTGATCTAGTTTTCATTTGATACATCCTGAAACATAGCACCCTAGACCCTGCTCTCTACTCACAGTCTAAGTATAGTGAAGTTACTTTACTTTGCAGTTTGGTCATTTTAATTTTTTGATATATAGCATTAACAACTCACAGTCATTCAACCTAGACTTTACTATATAAATGTCTGAATCTTTTTTATTTGTACTTATCCACTTTACATTTTAATACTGTTAGAACATTAACCATCCTCTTACTTCTCTCGCATGGATTTTACTGTTTGTTTCTATTCCTCTCAATTGACAAGGGTATTTAAAATTCTAATATCCATTTTAACCAAGTGCATCTACCAGTTTCAATAGGTATGACTATTGGTAGGAGTTGCCTTGCAGTGTGCTAGAAAACTATCAACTCAATGTCAGTCACAAAGCTTAATGAGCACTTTCCCCATTTATTCATTCACACTACTAATGAAAACATGTGGGCGCCTGGGTGGCTCAGTCGGTTGGGCGGCTGCCTCCAGCTCAGGTCATGATCCCAGAGTCCTGGGATCGAGTCCCACATCGGGCTCCCTGCTCTGCGGGGAGCCTGCTTCTCCCTCTCCCTCTGCCTACTTGTGTTCTCTATCTCTCTGTCAAATAAATAAATAAAATCTTAAAAAAAAAAAAAGAAAACATGTGAGTACCAGAACCAGGGAGAAGCAGAAAAGATATGACTTTGTATTTCCCAACTCAATACTCTCTCCTTTTGAATATGTAACATTTTCCTAATTTGAGGAGAAAACACACATCAAAGAGCTGTGAGGATACTGTTTGACTATTACCGTTAACATGTAAAGGAGGTGTCAGTCTCTGTCAATACATTTATTTCAACAGTCCCCTGGAATTTACTTTTCATTCAATTTAGTCCTCACTTTTAGAGGTTGGTACCTTTGCTAATGCACAAGAATAAGAACTGTAAAGAACAACCTGTTCCCCTCTTCACCTAGCTTTCTTCAGAAGCACCTGACTTCTTTACCCACTAACCAGTCTGCTTGGTTGTGGCTACAACTAGTTTTTAGGTTCACAGGAATCATGCCTTCATGTTGCTCCCCTTTCATTTTCAATATCATCACGCTTCCCTTCTAGGCAACTCTCCCCTTTTGTCAACTTCACATGGCTAAAGAAATACACTGTCAGGTCCATCTCTTGTTTGGGGGCTGATGTGCTCCCTGCACATACGAAATCCTAATCCCAGTTTAGGTTTCACGTTCAGGAAATAGGTGGGGTATCATGCTTGCTGCAGAGAAACCGAAACCTTTTCCTGAACATGGTCTTTCCCAAATCACTTCCAGTCTGGAACTATGAATTCTGACTGCACAAATGATTTCCAATCACTCATGGGCTAAGATTTAATAAGTAAATACTTCATCTTGCTGAGAGATATCAGATTTCGGTTCCTGCCCCATCACTTTTAAGGGCAGACACAGCAAGAAGCTTGTAAAAGCACTCGCCCAGAGAACATCTCAAGCCATTAAGATCCTATTCAGGGTCTGATTCACCCCAGTTGGCTTCACCTTAAATCAAGTCAGTATTACTTACCTGTTCCATCCCATCCCACCCTATTCCTGTTTAGTCCCAGCTAGGATCCAGGACTTTGGCTGACAGATTTTCTTTCCACAGTCCCGATTCAGATCTCACTGACGGTTAGAAATGGGTCCTGGTTCCTGGGTGGGTTCCATTCCCAGCCGGGACCTCGCTTGCATGGAGTATCGGTTGAATCGTGTGGCGGTGGCAGGAGCCAGGAAGAAACCCATGTCGGCTCCGGCTCTCGACCGGGATCCTGGCTCTGGACAGGACCCAGGGGTGGGGTCAGCCCCAGGTCGGATTCGGAGCCGGTCCAGGTCTCACCTTGACGCAGTCGATGGGATACATCACGCAGTGCTCCAGGATCCCTGCCACGGCGCCCGCCACCATGTGCGTGGTGACAGTGGCTCCAGCCGGCAGCGCCTCGTAGTCCGGGCCGGAGTCCGGATCCTGCCGTACCGGGGGCCTGCAGGCCCCGGCCTCCCCGCCGCCGGCCCCCCGGCCCACGCCCCGCTGCAGCCACCCGTCCAGCAGCGCCGACTCCCCGGGGCTCCGCCCCGGCCCAGCCGCCGGCCCCCCCGCCACACCGCCAGCACCCCGCCCCTCCAACTCCATCCACCCGGGCCAGCTGCGGCGCCCACCCTCGCCGCCGCTGCCGCTGCCGCCACCGCCCCCCAGCCCCGCCGTGTCCGCCTCAGGCGCGGCCCAGAGAGCCCGGGGCCTCCGGCTCCCGCTTGACTCAAGGACACACCCCTCAGCCAGCCATTGGTGCGGCCGCCAAGTTAGCCCCGCCCCTTTGCTTACGTAGGAAAAAGATGTCTGTGGTATTAGAGAAGTTGCCTGTCATTCCTCCGCCCTGCGGCGTTGCTACGGTTTAGGTCCCACCCCTTCCCCTTTGATCTTGGAAGCTTCTTGTTTATTGGCCATTGATTGGCCAACATATAAGAACAACCCGCCCACTGATTTTTCTTGGGGGCGGGAGAAACTTAAGGGAGAACTTTGATAGGCTCAACCACTCTTGATACTTTGACCGCGGCCATTGGCCCTCACCACGTCGGGATCCGATTGGCTACGGGAAGAGAGCGAAGAGCCCAGGGGCGAGAGAGAACGGATTTGGGCCCCAGACTAGCGCCTGGGGAGCTGCGGGTGCTGCAGGCGGGGTTCTCTCGGGGTGGGGGTGGGGGTGGGTGCCAGGCCTTCAAGGTCAAACCGCTGCAGTCAGCCGTTAGAACTGCGTTCGAGCGCGGGCCCCCAAATCCCCAGACACGCGGGGTCGCGGGCTGGCGGGCGGCCCTGGCCCAAGAGCTCTGTTCCCGCGGGATCTCGGGCGGGCGTGAGGTGGAGCCAGCTTGGGCCGGGTATACCCTGGCGCGGCCCGCGGGCCTGTCCGGGAAGCTGTTGCGACATGCGGGCGGAGGCCCGTTAGACTCCGGTTGGATCTGGCGCGCTGTCTCCCCGCCCCATGCCGCGCGCGAGCCGACTCCTGAGGGCCCTGTGCTCCTCAGGCCTCGGCGTGCCGCCCTGGGCTTGCACCCGAAGTCGCCCAGTAAACCCTGCGGTTGTTGAATGAATGAGTTCTCGGGGCCCGTTGTCGCTGGGTCCTGCGCCAGGCCGAGAGCTGGAGGCAGGAAAAAGAGATGTCGAAATGGGGCGGGATGATTCAGAGATGACGACAGGTGGAGAGGCCGGTCTGGAGGCAGCTGCCCAAACAGCACAGAAAGTACGGCGACTATGGAGAACCTCCGACATAGAGTTTTTCCCTGAGCTGACGCACTGATGACCACCACTGCCTGGTGGTGATTGCCTTTTGTGATAAGACCGCTGTCTCTCCCAGGCTGGTCGGGCGGGTCGGCCAGAGTTTGAGAGGGGCACTCACTGGTTAAAGAACAATGCCAGCGATTCCCAGCCTGGAGCACCACCTCCTGGGCCGTGACGTTGCGCGGGAGCTACACGAGGGTTGCCGGCTCTGTTGGGGAACGCAGGAGCTTTCTGCGTTCCTCCGTAGTCCCTGCTTCAGTATCCCTTCTCTGGAGCGTGTTTGCACAAGCCTCCCCAGTGTTTCCAGCTCTGTCCTTACTACCTATTTTACCGAGATGATGATGGAGTTGTGAACTTCTCCATCTCGGTATAGCTTTTCTTTAAGGAAGAGGCTTTCCTTTTTTTCTTTAAGCGAAGCCCTTCTCTGGGCCTCTGGGGGTTTTTGTTTGTTTTTAACTGTTTTACTCATCTATTCTCTTTCTCTTAGCAATGGTTATTAACCTTTGGGTCTGGACCTTTGCGAAAGTAAGGAAACTACAAATCCTCTTCCCTCCACTTCCCACCCCCCATACACACACCTAGGGGTCCATGATCTTTAGGTTAAGAACCCTTCTCTACATCTTCCCTCTTCTCTAGCTCGCTTCCCTTGAGAAATGAGTAGGTAGGTCTCCTCAAAAGATAAACCACTGAATCCTGCTAGAGTACTAATTCCCTCTACTGCCAAACTACTACAGTAATGAGCTATACCTGCTATATCTTTTCTCTCCTTAACCCCTATATTTAAATTTTTTTTCTTATTTTTTTTTTAAAGATTTTATTTATTTGAGAGAGAGAGAACACGAGCAGGGGCAGCCGGCGAAGCACACTCCCTGCTGAGCAGGAAGCCCCATGCGGGGCTCCATCCCAGGACCCTGAGATCATGACCTGAGCGGAAGGCAGAAACCTAACGGACTGAGCCACCCAGGCGCCCCAACCCCTACATTTTCACTCCTTTATTCAGTGGCCACAAATGACCTTTCCAAATGCAATAGTCTTTTTCTTATTCCCTCTTGCCCCCACTGACCCATCCCTCATTGAAATTTTTTCCTTCCTAGGAACCACTTATTCTACGTTTTAGACTTCTCAGTCTCCTACACTTCTCTAAACACCGAGGGAAAACATTCCTAAAGGGTTAATGCTTCTTGTTCATCTTCAATACCTTAGAGAAACTTAATCATTCCAAATCTGTTTTCCCCATTGGACCTATATTTCTCCTTTCTTTCTCTCTTTCTCTCTCTTTCTTTTCTCTTTCTTTCTTTCTTTCTTTCAACTTAAACTTTAGTGAACATACAGTGCAATATTGGCTTCTGGAGTAGAATTAAGTGATTGATCACTTACATATAACACCCAGTGTTCATGATAACAAGTGCCCTCTTTAATACCTATCACCCATATAGCCACACCCACCCACTTCCCTCCATCAACCCTCAGTTTCTCTACCATTAAGAGTGTCTTATGGCTTGTTTCCCTCCTTTTTTTCTTTTCACCGTTGCCATGTGTTCATCTGTTTTCTTTCTTAAATTTCACATATGAGTGAGATCATACGGTATTTGTCTTTCTCTGACTTATTTCACTTAGCACAATACACTCTTGTTCCATCCATGTCATTGCAAATGGCAAGATTTCATTCTTTTCCATGGCTGACTAATACTCCATTGTATATACAAACCATGTCTTCTTTATCCATTCATCAGTCAATGGACATTTGAGCTCTCCTCATAGTTTGGCTATTGTTAATCATGCTGCTATAAAGATCGAGGTGCATGTGTCCCATTGAATCTGTATTTTTGTATCCTTCGGGTAAACACCTAGTAGTGCAATTGCTGGATCATAGAGTAGTTCTATTTTTAACTTTTTGAGGAACCTCCATACTGTTCTCCAGAGTGGCTGCACCAGTTTGCATTCCCACCAAGAGTGCAAGAGGGTTCCCCTTTCTCTGCATCCTCACCAACACCTGTTGTTTCTTGTTAATTTTAGCCATCCTGATGGGTGTGAGATGGTATCTCATCATGGTTTTGATTAGATTTCCTTGATGATGAATGATGTTGAGCATCTTTTTTTAGCCATCTGGATGTCTTTTTTTGAAGTGTGTCTATTCATGTCTTCTGCCCATTTCTTAACTGGGTTTTTTGTTTTGGGGGGTTCATTGCACACTTCTTAACTGAAATTTCCATGTGAACATTCAGTAAATATTTATTGAGGACCAGTTCTGTGCCTGGCACTGTACTTGAAGCTGGTGACACAGGACACAGTCCATGGAGCTCTCATGGAGCTTGCTTTTTAATGAGGGGAGGGGGATAGACAAAAATACCAGTTAGCTCTAGGTACTATTCTGATAACTGAAATAGGGAGATGTGATAAAGTGTGACTAGGTGGCTACATTTATTGGGCCAGGGAAAGCCTTTCTGAGAAGATGACACTAAATGACAGGCAGGAGCTCATGAGGAACCCAGAGAAGAGCATTCCAGAAGAAACAGTAGATACAACAACCCTAAGGTGAGAACAAGATTGGTGTATGAAGGAACAGAAAGTTAGAAAGGGGGAGTGACACAGGATGAGATTGGATGAATATCCACCTTAATTTCTGGCATGACTTGGCATGTTCATTCCAAATTTAGCCTTTGAACTTCCCACCCCAACCAATTCCTCCAAAATATTTCTTTTCTACCCAATCAGACTCTAAAGCTGGGAGTCTTCTGTAGCTACCCTTCAGAAATACTCTGAAATGTTTCTTTTGTTTGTGCTTTCCTTTTCGTTCCAATTGATATACTTCCCCGGTATCTGATCCCTTCACATCTATATTGTAATAACCGTTGAATGTCCTCACTACCTCTGGGATCCCCTGGCTTCATCAGTATTTTGATTCCCATCCTTCCAGGTACATGGTAGGATTGTTCTTCCCACCTCCTTAATGATAGGCATGGCTGTGGATTTGCTTTGACCAATGAAATGTGAGAGAAGCGTGAGAGCCACACACTAACTTTCCCTGCCACATGACTGGTGATGTTTAGAAGGTCCCATCAGCCTGAGGCCCTGGTGAAGATGATGAAGCAAAGTCGCCTACTTGCCACCCCTTTCCTCCCAGATGGACGTTCACCATGAGTAAGAAATAATCTTTGTTGTTTTTTTTTTTAAGATTTATTTATTTGAGAGAGAAAGAGCAGAAGAGAGAGGGAACACAAGCAGGAGGAGTGGGAGAGGGAGAAGCAGGCTTCCCACAGAGCAGGGAGCCCGATGTGGGGCTCGATCCCAGGACCCTGGGATCATGACCTGAGCTGAAGGCAGACGCTTAATGACTGAGCCGCCCAGGCACCCCATAATCTTTGTTTTTAAAACAGATTTTAGGATAATTCTATACCATAGCAAAATCTAGCCCACTGCCACTCAGACTTTAATGTGATATTAGTCGCCTGAAGAGTTTGTTAAAATGCAGATTGTTATTCTGTAGTGGGGTCTGAGATTCTGCATTTCTTACAAGTCCCCAGGTGACGCTGATGCTGTTAGACCCTGGACCACACTTTGAATAGAAAGAACCCATCCTGACTATATGATATACCACTCTTAACACATCTACACACACTACCCTACATCTCACCAGCACTTTAACTTCCCTAAACCAATTAGCAAGCAAAGAAGTTCCTTGGAGATATTTCTTTATAAGCCCTCAGCTCCTATACCTGCAGCTCCTCAGTCGGGCATTGCACAATCTTATTTTCTTATATCCCTAGGGTAATCATTTCCATATTCTCCCTTCTATACTGTCTTTTTTCTTTTTTTACCTCTACCTATGAGACTATTCATTGTCTCACTACTGAGTCTCATTTTCTTTAGTAATAGAAACCCCGAGTTTTAGCTTGGAGCTAAAAGTCCAGCTGAAGTCCATATTTCCCCCAGCTTCCTCTACAGCTAATGTTAGCTATGTGACTAAGTGCTATCTGAAGGGATGTGAGTGTAAGTGGCATGAAATATCTGGGTTCTGCCTTTAAAAGGAAAGACTATGGGGGCGCCTGGGTGGCTCAGTCAGTTAAGCGTCTGACTTCAGCTCAGGTCATCATCTCAGTCAGGGTCCTGGGATGGAGCCCCATGTTGGGCTCCTCACTCAGCGGTGAGTCTGCTTGTCCCTCTACCCCTCCCCCCAGCTCATACTCTCTCACTCTCTCAAATTATTTAAAAATATAAAAATAAATAAAGGGAAAGATGATGTTCTCTGAGTATTTTTTCCCCCATGTTCTCCCTTCTTGTCATTTAGAATACAGCCCAGAAGATGTCAGCCATTTTTGGCCATGAGACAAGGCCCCCTACTTGAGGTAGCAGAGCAAAAGGTAGAAGAAACCTGCTGCCTTATGGGCAGTAACAGTAGTACCTTTGGACTACTCATGTTCTGGTACATGAGAGAACTTGTTTAAACAGTTGCTGTTAGTCTGAATCTTTGTTACAGCATCAGATTTATATCCTAACTGACACATCTTCATCCCTAGAATGCAATTCACCCTTTGTTCTTATCAAAATTCTCATTCTCGAAGGTCCAAAACAAGTCCCACTACTCCTTCCAGCTTACATGACCATTACCCTCTTTCCCTGAACTGCCATCCCCCATGACCATATGAGGTATGCGTATTATACAGAATGAGATTGATTCCAGCAGCCACACATGAAAATTAGACTGACTTCTTTACAGTCACTTAAAGAGCACTGATTCCTAAATTATGAAGAGTAGACCCTAAGAGCTGTAGGAATTCAGAGATGGGGCAATCAGTGAGGACAGAAGGCATAAGAAGACATTATGTGTTTGAGCAGTTTACAAATGGAGAGTGTGCACAGGAAGATGTTCCAAGAGGGGTGTGGGAACAGTTTCAAGGGAATCAATTTGTTATTCCTTGTCTTCGGCATCTTTGCTAAAATTCATCTGAGAAAGCATTTGAAACATCTCTCCTCTCTCCTGTTTCTTAGTCTGTCCTCCCACCTTATGAAAGAAGTGTGCCTTCACTTACCCATCTTGCTACAGTTCATTGCCCTGGGACATACAGACCTCCAGGTAGCTGAGTGGTCCTGGTGCTAGCAAGGCCCCCTTCAATCAAGGCACAACTGTAGATTTCATGTCTTTCTCTGGCTTGCGTATATTTCAATTAGGGCAAAACATGGCTTTAGAAATGGATATTTTGGTCCTTGTGGGATATTTGGTGTACATATATATTGTACAGTGGAGTAAAGGGTTTTTAATTTAATCACATCACCTAGTCCAACCCCTGTTATCAAAGAATACATTGTTTCTGAGGGAGAGTCCCCTTAGAATAAAGCAAAAAGAACGTAATTAAATGTTAAAAGAAGTAGTGCCTTATTTCATTTAGCTGACACACTCCTGGTAAGGTCTGTTTATCTTGGGGCAAGGATAGTCAAGATTTATAAAAATGTATGCTGGGAAGTAATAATGTGCTACAAAGTACAATGCTCCCTGTAGTAAGAAACAAGAAAGCTGAGTGATGCTCTTCATTTACTCTTCATTTACTTTGGTCTCAATTTTATATTTTGCATAATTTCTATAAGAATAGGGAAAGTCCTGTTTAACTTTCACAGATCAACATCATGCCTTCAACTAAAAGGAAATATGTCAAAAGTAAATTCATATTTTGTTTTTTCTTGAGTATTTATTCAGGCTTGTACTAAAAACATACTCATTTTCTTTTGTCAACAGATTATTGGCTATACCATTTCACACCCCCTGGGATGGCTATAATCAAAAACACAGAAAATACGTGTTGACAAGGATGTGGAGAAATTGGAATCCTCACACGTCGCTGCTGGGGCCGTAAAATGGTTCAGCCACTGTGGAAAATAGTTTAGCGGGTCCTCAAAAAGTTAAACATAGAGTTACCGAATGACCCAGCAATTCCACTCCTCGGTATATTGAAAAGAAGTACTTAAACAAGTACATGTATATGCTTGTTTATAGCAGCACTTTTCACAGAGGCAAAAGGTGGAAACAGTCTAAGTGTCCATAAACAGAAGAATGGATAAACAAATTGTGTTCATACACAAGATGAATATAATTCCACTGTAGAAAGGACTGAAGGAGTGACACATACTACCATGTGAATGAACCTCGAAAATATGTTAAATGAAAGAAGCTACTCATATGAAATATCCAGAAGAGGTGCCTCTGTAGAGACAGAATGCAGACTGGTAGTTACCAAGGCCGGTGGGGGGGGGGTCGGGGGGGGGTGGTGAGAAGGTGCTAAATGGGTACAGGGTACATCACCTTTTGGGGGTGATGAAATGGTTTGGAACTAGGTAAAGGGGTTGGTTGCATAACATTGTGAATACACTAAATGCCACTGAATTGTTCACTTTAAGATGGTTTACTTTTATGTTACATGACTTTCACCTCAATTGTAAAAAGACAAGATTGGCTAGCACCCCACAGATGAGCTGAAGAAACTAGGACCTCAATATCCTCTCAAATGTTTGTGCCTCTGTAACTCCAAACGGCAGCTCTACACCAGTCTTTATATAATTCCTAGGTTGCCTTACATCAACTTGTAGAAAACCTATCTTGGACAAAAGTGAAAGATCTGGGCATCGATTGTTAGTGGATACAAAGTTTCTTTTTGGTTGATGAAAATGTTTTCAATTTATACTGTGATGGTTGCACAACCCTATGATTATACTAAAACCCACTGAATTGGGTGACTTTTATGGTAAATAAATTACATCTCTATAAAGCTGTTCTTAACACACCAGAAGGTCTAATTGAGATACGTTGAAGAGTATCTTCTTGTGGAACTCCAGTTTCATCATCCTTTAAGCAATAAACTGTAACCCTCTGCACATCTATTGGGGGGGGGGGTAGTTACTGCAATCACACCATTCTTGTCTCTTAAAGTTTCTCCTAAAGGATCTTGTTTATGAAAGAAAAAAAGCCAAAACAAGGAAAATTACTAACTTTGATCTAAGAAACAAACATTATCTCACCTCTGACTCATAGGCAAAAATCCAGAAAAATTACTTTGCTTCACTGGTTCTTGTCTAATAGAAAGTTTCTGTTCAATTCATACTCAAATTGAGTTGAAACAGACACAGGAAAAAAAAATATCGTAGTCACTCTTATCTGGGCACCAGTCTCCGCATTGCCACTCATTTTCATGCTCATTTATACATTTCTATCATATCCTTATTACTTTGACAGGAACATGTAAATTCTGGAAATAATGCCCCCAAACAATTATTTTTACACTTTTTTGTAAGCCCTGCACCTAACAGTCATATAATACCTTCTCTTCTTTTTGCTGTTTATTTACACAAAGTAAAACTGCACCCTTATTTTTTTAAAGATTTTATTTATTTATTTGGGGGGGGGGGCACGAGCAGGGGGAGGAGCAGAGGGAGAGAGAAAATCTCAAGCAGACGTGGGGCTCTATCTCACGACCCTGAGATCATGACCCTGAGATCATGACCTGAGCTGAAATCAAGAGTCAGATGCTTAACCGACTGAACCACCCAGGTGCCCCTAAAACTTCACTTTGAAAAGCATCTACTTATGTACCTGGTAAGACAAAGTGTACCACAAATATAATTTAAGATATAATGCCCTGAACTTGAAGAAATCATTTCATTTAATTAGAATATCTCCTTCTCAGATGGTGACATGTTCTTTTAATTCTATCAAATGTATAATTTTAAACTTTAAATCTTGAAATGAAATTACAAGCCTGTATATAATATTTTTACTATACCAATTTCTGTCCATCTGTAATGTCTCCTTAAGACACTTTAATATGACCTAAATAACTGAAATAGGTCTTTGTTCATAATCAACAAGAAAAATTATGAAACACAACCAATTTTGTGGTGTTTTGGCTCCAAAACCAGAATAGCTTTAAGTGAGAGAGAAACAAGAACAACTAATAGTCACTTGACTTTGGTGTCACTTCCAGACCCTGAAAAAATGATTACTCACATGAGTAACACATCCTTTTGCAAATGAGATGGTTCCTAATCCTTTTACAAAATTTAAGGAGATGGAAAAATTGTGACAAAGATTTGGCAAAGCTCCATTCATTCATTTATTTGTTTTTGTTTTGTTTTGCATTCACTTATTTTTGTAAAAATGTTACTTGGCACCTACCTATAATAACAAAAAATAGGACAAGAATTGGTGATGCACTCCATCTCACTCTATCAAAAGATAACAGTCATCTAATGATCCATGATGTAATCTAAAATATTCTAAAAGCCCCATCCATCTATGAAGAGGTACAGTTCAATAAATTTTACTTTTTTTTTTAAGTAGGCTCCCCACCCAGTGTGGAGCCCAACGCGGGGCCCAAACTCATGACCCCAAGATCAAGACCCAAGCTCAGACCAAGAGTCAGATACTTAACCAACAGAGACACCAGTGAGTAGCAGTTCTTTCACTGGCTCCCTCCAGCCCAAGGCCTAACCTTCCCAGGTGTCCTGGCAGTTGTAACCAGGGACACCACCCAACAGGGTGCTAGCAAAACTCATCCCTGTCCTAATCTTGGCATTAATTTTGGGAAGCACCCTTGGAAGAGACAGGCCCTACAGTGAGTTGAGGAGACAGGACTGGAAAAAGCTCATGTCACTACTTTGTAGGAGTTTATTAAAAGGTCACATCTGAAATAGGATCCTAAAGATATGGACAGTTAATTAAGCTAAGTCAGATGGGGGTGGTAAAAGGCATAAGGGAGGCAAAGCCTTCTGGACAAGAAGACCATATTACAAAAGTCCTGTAATGAGAGGATTGAGCCAGTGGTTCAGGGCTAGGGGAAGCGGTTTTGAGATAAGCCTGGGAGTGACTAGGGGCCACACCATGAGAGGTTCTGAAGTCATATTAAGGGAATCAGTTTATATTAAGAAAAATGGGATCCCATTGTGGAATTTTAAATTGAAGTGAGATAACATGGTCAATTTTGCGTTTTGGAAAGGTCACTTTGGCTGCGAAGAAAGATTGAGGGCAGCAACCCTGGAAGTTGAGTCATTATTCTTATTTTATGGATAAGAAAATGAATATAACTTCTTCAAAGCCACATAGTTAGTAAGTAATGAAACCAAGCTTCAAACACAGGCCTGAAAACTTAACCACAGTCGGCTGCCTTTTTAGATCAAGGTAATAAACCACCAAAATAGAGTTAGTTAAAATGACTTTTTTTTTTAAGTTAGAAACAAGAGGCTTATCTCTGACTCATCCTGACTTTACCTTGGTCATGACTTAGAAAGTGAGAAGGAGGAGCTGAAGTTCCATGATTTGACCTAAGCTTCAGTTACCTCATCTGTAAAAGGGTAATAACATGTATTTTATAGGATTGTCTCAGGATTCTATCAGAAAAAGAATAAAATTTAATATCAGTCATATAGTTAGAACTTGACAAAGGTTGATCACTATCTCTATCATTATAATTATTACCTGTTTTTCCTTTTTGACTGTCCATCCAGCTATCACAGAAATTGCTGGCAACATGTCACCTAACTGCTGACCGAGAAACCACGACTAGTCACTGTCCTTTGCTAGACTAGAGCACCAAATGTGTGATATCTCACAAAGCCTGCTTTTCTCTGAACAATAATATTCTTACTTCAGGTCCATGTCATGTGTATCCTCAATTACGGTATGAACTTCATACCATAAAGAGTAGATTTAAGTATCTTTAATTCCTTAGGTAAAATGGCTAGAATTACAAAACTTCCCTTGAATATTATCAAAGAATGTAAAGGTCTATTGTCCATGACATACAAAGAAGATAAGCTATCAGCAGGGGATGAGGCTTAGGTAATTTATCTAAGTAGATATGATGTATTTTTAATGCTCTGTGGTGTTGAATCCTTCATAAATATGGCATATATTCTCAAAGTAACTGGCCACAGTTATGGAGGCAACAAACATTATCGACAATAGAAACAACATAATTACCAACAAACAACAAATTATGGCAGCAGATGTGGGTCTCCAACTCATGAACCTTGAAGCCCTGATTTATCAGTGTGGTTTTCCTGGTTGTCCTCTGGGTCCAATTCCCATTTTTTTACTCTTTTTTATACAGGCACATCCCTGACCCTCTTACCTGGTCTCTGCCTTATCCAATGCTCATTTCTTCATTATCTCCTTTTAATTAATCAAATCTTTTCTCTTCATCCCTTAGTCTTCCTTGCCTTTACAGCTTATTCATTACAAAATAACATATAAAAGCCCAGGTATTTACATTAATTGTAACAAAGGGGTTAATCAAATAGTTCAGGTAGTGGAAAATTATCCTTATAGTGACAAAGATAAAACTGTTTCACCTTTGGATTTCATTGCCTCCCTTTGATTTTCTTACTGGGCTTCAGCTGTATGAGTGCCCAGCACTGTGCTGAGGGGCTAACAAAGATGAGGAGAGGGAGAGAGTGCAAAAAGAAAAAAAAAAGGAATGAACTGAAATCCTCCTTTGCAAGAAATCTGCAATTGCTAGTGAAAAAAAAAACCATATATGCATTACACAACAACGATAACAGCCAACTTTTATGAAGGGCTTACTATGTACCAGCCAACGTATATATTATTTCTTTTAATCCTATGTGGTTGTAAATTAGTTATCTACTGCTCTGTGACAAATTACTATAAAACATAGTGGCTTAAAACAGCAATAAACATTTATTATCAGTTTCTGCAGGTGAGGTATATGATAGTGGTTTAGATGGAGGGTTAGGGCTTGGCGTGTCTCATGAAGTGCCAGTCAAGATGTCAGCAGGGGCTGCAGATACATGAAGGCTTGACTGGGGCTGAAGAATCCACTTCCACAAGGACTCATTCACACAACTGTCAAGTTGATTCTGCCTGTTGGCAGGAGGCCTCAGTTCCTCTCCAAATGGGCCTCTCCAGAGAGCTGCTAAGGGTCCTCATGACATTGCAGCACACGGTACCACATTGTTGGCAAATTACTTTTTGATTATAGTCATTCTAGTGGGGATGTAGTAGCATCTCCTTATAGTTTTATAGTTTTATTTTTTTTTAAGATTTTATTTATTTATTTGACAGAGAGAGACACAGCGAGAGAGGGAACACAACAAGGCGGAGTGGGAGAGGGAGAAGCAGTCTTCCCGCTGAGCAGGGAGCCCAATGTGGGGCTCGATCGCAGGACCCTGGGATCATGACCTGAGCTGAAGGCAGACGCTTAACTGACTGAGACACCCAGGTGCCCCCTTCTTGTAGTTTTAATCTGCATGTCCCTCATCACTAATGATGTTGAACATCTCATGTGTTTATTTGCTATCTGTATATCTTTTTTGGTTAAGTGTCTAAATACTTCTTCCACTTATAATTGGGTTATTTGTTTGTTTGCTTGTTTTTTACCATATAGTTATTTTTAATGTCCAGCATTTATAATATGAGGGCCAGAGCTTTCTCCCCATCTCAAGTTTATAAATTTTCAATTGGTTTGTGAGGCCAATAGGGGTACTTCTTCTTGTCTAGTTTGGTTTCTGGGAAGACTTCGTTCAGGTCCTCAATGGTCATCTGATCATTTGGAATTATGTTCTTCATCTTCTCCAGCTCTTTTTTCATATTCCTCAATCCTGGCCTTTGAGAAAGACAAAAACTCAGCATAACTTTTCACATCTTCTTTTTCTTCAGCATCCACCTGGACAGTATATGTATTCTCTGGCACAGGAATCTTCAGGGCATTAAACTTCTTCTCAAAGCCATCTACCAAGCCAGCTATATGCTTTCAGACTTTTACATCTACCAAGCCAGCTATATGTTTATATGTATGGGGCTGTAGAGAGGATTATAACATAGCACAGAACTCAAAACCAAACCCTAGAAGTCAATACTATTATCTGAAGTTTCCCTGACCACTTCACCTTAGGGACTGTGGTGATTTAAAAATATGTCTGCAAATTGATACTTCTCCCTTCAAAAGGTGGAGCCTAATTGCCCTCCCCTTGAAAGTGGGCTGGGAGTTAGTGACTGGCTTTTAACAAATAAAATGTAGCAGAAGTGAAGAGATGTGACCTCTGAGGCTAGGTAATAAAAGGGATAGAGTTTTCACCTGGTGCTTGTTCTCAGATGGCTCTGGGAGAAGCCAGTTGCCATATCATGAAGACACTCAAGCATTCCTGGGAGAGTCCATGATGTGAAAAAGAAGTGTGGCCTCCCATTGACAGCTACTATCCACTTGCTAGGCATGCAAGCATGTCATCTTAGAAGTATATCCTTTAGCCCCAGTTGTCAGATGACCCCACCTGACATCTTTACTGCAATCTAATGAGAGACCCTGAGCAGAGCTGTTCCCAAATTCCTGATCCACGGGAACTGAGAGATAATAATGCTTATTGTTGTTTTAAGCTGCCAAGTTTTGGGGTAATTTGTGATGCAACTATAGAGAAATAATGCAGGAAATCTCTCATGGGTCATTCTCTTTAGTCTTGTTTGCTAGCAGCTTGCACAGGTCCCTCTTTTCCTTCATGTCTTTTTCTTTTTGTTTTACCAGGGCTTCCCAAGCCTAGTCTCTAGAGGGAATGCTCAAAATCCTGTATTTTATTAGGCAGAGCAATCAGTCTTCTTGGTCTAAACCTCTTCCACCTAGGCTAAGCCTACGGATCCCACTTTCCTTGACCAAACACACCCATTAAGTTCCCAAATCTAGCTACTCTGTCTTCCTATCAGGACAACTGGTACTAGGTCCACTCACAAAGCTGCCAGCTTTTTTTTTTTTTTAAAGATTTTATTTATTTATTTGACAGGGAGAGACACAGCGAGAGCAGGAACACAAGCAAGGGGATTGGGAGAGGGAGAAGCAGGCTTCCCGCCAAGCAGGGAGCCCAATGCGGGGCTCGATCCCAGGACCCTGAGATCATGACCTGAGCCGAAGGCAGACGCTTAACGAGTGAGCCACCCAGGTGCCCCACAAAGCTGCCAGCTTTTAAAACAATTATTCTTGCCTTAATAGAAGCACCCATGAGCCAAGTGCTACAAGACCAGAGAAAAAGAAGCACCTAGGCAGACTGGGGGAGCTCATAGGTGACATGTGAGTTGAGTTTTGAAGGATAAGCAGGAGTTCATTTGGTAAAGAAGTGAAGGAAAGTCATTTATGCAGAAGTAATAGCAAGTACAAAGGCTCAGAGGTAAGAGAAGGCACAATTCTGAGAACTGTAAATATGTCAGGGTTATGGGTGAGAATACCTATTGGGGAGCTCAGAGGATGTTAGGGGCTAGATCATATCAGGCACTAAAAGCCACATGTATCAATTAGGAGAGTACAAGTGACAGAACTACCTGATTCAACAGACTTAAAAGTGAGAGCAGTAATGAATTTAGTATCTCAGATAATAAGTCCATATGTAGGGCTGCTCCTGGGTTGGTTAAGTTAGCAATGATGTTAATGATGTTATCAAGGACCCAGGATTTTTCTGTATTTCTATTCTGTTATTTCTAGGCTTCCCCTCACCCCACACCCTGACTCCCCCACCCTATGGTTGTAAGATGGCTACAGCAGCTCCAGGCATCATATCCTTAAGATTACTTCTGGAGGCAGAAAAGGGATTTCTCTTCTTACTCTCATTATGTAAACTTTTTATACTCTTTTTCAGTTGGATAAAACCTCTCCCAGAAATGTTTCCCCTCTTCCTCCCATTCCTCCCAACAGCTGGCTTCCCTTCAATATCATTGGCTAGAATTGCATCATATGCCCAGGCTCAGTATTTGGTTAGGGAGTGGGACACCATGATTGACTTAGACCAATCACAGTTTACTCCCTGGGGCTGGGGTTGGAGCCTAGCACTCTTTAAGCATATGACCAACCATAGCAGTGTGGTTATAAGAATAAAATTGGGATTCTGTTAAAGGTGGAAGAGAGATTGTTGGCTTCTTGGGTAGGCAGTCAGCAGAATCTGCCATACCATACTAAGGAATCTGGATTATATCTGACTGGGATGGGGAACCACAAGGATGTTAAAACAGGAATTAGCATGATTATATTTCACTATATCAGAATGGAGGGGCACTAAGGAGGGGAATTAGTCTGGAGGTAGGGTCACCAGCTCGAACGCTTCATCAGAAGATTTTGGAAAGGATTTTAGAAACTTGAATTAAGAACAACTAGTCACTAACTGGATGAAATATGTGTTGGGGAGGAAAATATTTTCTATGCCCCTCAAGATTCTCTTGGCTGATCTAAGAATTAATTGGCATGAGACAGATTAACAGGAGAAAATAAAATTTAATTACATACAGACGGGAGTTCCATGAGACTAAGAGGCCTACAGGTAGTCAGGCAATTGAGGCTTATATGCCATTCTGAGCTGGGACTTCAAAGGGAAGGAGGACAATTCACAGGAAGATGAAAAAGAGTAAATGTGGTAAACAAATGTTTGCTGATCCATACAGAAAAAATGGGACACAGAGAGGAATTTTAATAAACAGATTTTGCTGAGTTCCTCCCTGTCTGCCATATCTAGTTCATATTATACTGTAGTCATTTGTGGTGCTAGCTCCCTTCCTGGGGCAGGTCCTGTATCCAAATTCTTGTAGGCAGTTAGGGGGGGATTTTGAAAGGTTCTTCCTGAGCCTTCTGTTTGTTAAAAATAATCAGCCTAAAATAATTCACATGCAAAAGAGACCCATGGCGGGGGGGGTGGGGGGGGGTGGCAAATTTTGCTCTCCCACAGCAAAAAGGAAGTAGAAGGAAGAGATTCTAAAATGACTTGCAAATTTCTGCTTGGGTGAATCACAGGGTAGTTGATTAAAGTTGGGAATATGAATGGAGGAGGTTTGGGTGGATAAAGTAAGAGTGGCAAGACAATGAGTTTTGTCATGGACAAGGAGGTGCCTACAAGGCACATGAAGAGAGGTGAGTAAACTTGGAAAGGAGAGTGAAGACCACAGTACTTCAACTCCTTTAGAGGTTAAGGCAGGATGGAGTGTAGAATGAAGGAGAACTGAGGGGAAATAAAGTGATATAGACAACTGATACCGAGTGTGGGGCTGGTATGGCTGATTTTGCTCAGAGCTGGGTAGAGTCAAGGACTTCTTGAGAAAATTGTAAATGTAATTGTAGATAAGGCTTTGAAAGGCAGTTAAAGACCAGTTTTGAAATATGAATTTCTGTAATTTGTTTCAACATGTTGAGAGTTACAGCAAATGAGATGGGGAAGTGATCTCAACCTACTTTTTTTGGCCTCCTGACTGGAAACCTCAGAACTCAGCCCTGTGAGCTGTTATTCAGATAAGCATTGCAGGCTTCTGTAAAGAATCATGTTTTACAAATTCCTGAATGCATATGGACTTATTGAAGAAAGTATTATCCAAATGCAATGGACAAAGAAAGTATAATGAAGTGTTGGGATTAAAATATGGGTTTCTTTTCTGTTTTATAACAGTAGTTATAAAATGTAAGTTGATGCTTTAATGCACCTTCAAGCTCTAAGTTAATACAGTTCATAAATCACATGAATTAAGTACTATTTAAAACATAAATAGGAATTCTATTTCCACTCAAAAACACCCATTAAGTGGACTGAAATATACATAGGTTAGACAGAACTCCACAGTTGGCAGGCAACCTCAAGAATTAAAAATATATATATATTCCAAAACATTTGTTGAGTTTTCCCCATGACTACCTGAACTGAGCTCTGGAATAATATAAACACCTGATATTTTTATAATTTTGTAGTTAATCCTAACTTTATCCAACTATTCTACTCAATGTGATTGTGGGGGGCCCAGATAAAATATAACACTGAAGTAGAGTAGGGGTTGAAGGACAAAGAAGAACAGAACACTGAGAATCGATGGAAAGTTAGAAAGCCCATTCAGGCTGGGAGGGGAATGGAGGGAAAAAATAATAGTCGGGAGAGCCTGAACATATAAACTGGACAATGTCAGACCATATATGATGATTAGAATTGTGACCCATGACCAACTAGGCTGCCCACAGCCTAGTGCTCTCACTACTGGTCACTATCAGCTTCCCTGCCTTCTAACTCAGGACCAACCAGAGAAAGCCAAATATGCTCCCCACAAACAATCACATAAGATGCCCTGCTCCTAGTAAGCCCACCACCAGCTTCCCCATGCTAAAACTCTCAAATCAGGGCATACATGAAGCCTTCCTTCTCCCCGCGCCCCCAGTTAAAGCTTTCCCATTCCCCTGACAGTCTTTAGGTCTCTGCCAGATATAAGTGTTGGTGGTTGACCACTTTTCTATAACAGGTGTAGAACAGATAGCCTCTTTTTGATCTCATTTGGGTGGTCTTCATTTATTTCTACATTCATTCACTTATTTATCATACATTACCTGTATTGTATGCACCAGACAGTACCCAGCATTGCTGTGGAAGATAGTCCCTGCCCTCAAGCATATTCTGTCGCCAGGGACAGACCCATAAATTGTAATTCAATATGGTAAGTGAAACAACAGGCATATATGACGGGGTTGTAGGGCAAGTAAAGTTTTTAGGGGAGGTGACCCTTAAGCTAAGTGGTAAGGAATGAGTATGAGTTGGCTGGGCTAAGAGGCTGGGAAGGATAGTCAAGGCAGATGGAAGGGTGGAGAAGGCGGAATGGACAAAGCCTAAGAGGGCAGAAGCCACAGATGTGCGTTGTTGAAGCATAGTAAGGGGGCTGCGGAGCAGCAGAAGATGCTGCATGGGTGGGTCCTGGATCGCCATGTATATGCCACGTTTGTAAGGACTTGGACTTTATCCTGTCCAAATGGCACCCTCCTGGAAATGAGAGAAACGGCTGGTGTAAGCAAGGAAGGAAAACATTAAAGAAACATTACCTTTGCATTTATTACTGTAAGGTCCGGGAGGGCAGGGACACAGCGGCTCACGTCTGGCACACAGCAGACATTCAATCAATGTTGAACGAATACTATAAGCGCTTCGGTGTAAACGATATTGTCCCCCATTTATGTTTCTCTAACAGGACAAGACAAGGAAGCCGGGACATAAGTCTGGGAGGACAAGACAAGGAAGCCGGGACATAAGTCTGGGAGGCTATACGGAAGGTTTGATTCTGGCGATCAGGGTTGGTGGACACAATACCTCTGATAGGTTGTGGGCAAGGGATGCACTTCTCTCGCGGCCACTGCAAGACTCACCCGCCGGGGCCGCTCAGTCCTGGAAGCAGCAGCGTAGCAAGCAGCCAGCAGAGAAATCGCGCCGCCGAGAGGGCAGCGGGCGCAGGGCACCCTTGCACCGCTTCGCACCGCTCACCTGAGCGCCTACAGCTGGCCCGTCCAGGCGGAGCTACGGCACGACGCCCTTCCGGATTGGACGCGCTCGAAATCCCGGGGCGGGCATTAGCGGCCGAACGCTCTTGGGGATTGGCCACTCTGGCGAACGGACGTGCGGCCGACGGAGCTAGTTCGCCGGCGGCCCGGGCTGGATGGAGGGTGGGCCCCTCTCCGGGTCTGCCGTCAGTCATTGGCTCCCTGCGGTTTCCTTGGGGACGTGGCGCCGCCGCCCGCCCAGGCCTCTTTCCGGCTGGGCTAAAGGCCGCGGGGGGAAGCGCTCCGTACCCAGCGGAACGTTGCCGAGGGAGCCTGCGGGCCGCTCGACCTGTGAGTGCGAGCGCGGGAGGGCCGCGGGGCTGGGATAGGCGGGGAGGGGAAGTGGGCACCCCCACCCCGCCACCTGGGGAGCGCCGGTGCCTCGAGAACGCCCGGCTCCCGGAGAGTCGGCTTAGCGTCAGCTGGGCCCCGGAACAAGAGCGGACGCATCTGGAGTGGGTGGGCGCCTTGGCCTTCCCTTGGAGGGCTTGTCCTGTGGGCACTGCTGGAAGTAAGCCTGAAATCCAACGAACTCTTAACAGGCGGCAGACTTAGGAGATGCCTGAGACAAGGAGACCAATTTCTCAGGGCAAAAAGAAAAGGAGGTGACAGGCACTGAGACCACTGAAGGGATCCCATGGCTAGGTAAGGCTGCACATTTTCTCCTCAGCTTGGGGCTCAGTTGGGGGTGGCAGGTAGGTGGAGGGGCCCTGGGATGTTTTTACAAGTGAGGTTTGCCCTCGTGCTGCTTCTGGACTTTGCAGCTTGGTCGGATGGATGCAGAGAAGATCAAAGTGACAATTTTTTTGAAGGCAGACACTATAGTTTCTGGCTCGTAACCCCAGGGTGATGGAGTGAATGAGTGCTTGCTGACATCTGAAAAGTGCTAAAATGTAATGTTCTTTTAGAAAGCTACGTGCTTTTTGAGGAGGTTAAACAAAGATTTTTTTTTTTTTTAATGAACTTTGAAAATAGGCTGAGGTCCTTTTATTTATTTTTTTTTTTTTTATTTATTTTTATTTTTTTTTTTTTTAAAGATTTTATTTATTTATTTGAGAGCGAGAGAATGAGAGAGAACACATGAGAGGGGATAGGGTCAGAGGGCAGAGCAGACTCCCTGCCGAGCAGGGAGCCCGATGCGGGACTCGATCCAGGGACTCCAGGATCATGACCTGAGCCGAAGGCAGTCGCTTAACCAACTGAGCCACCCAGGCGCCCGGCTGAGGTCCTTTTAAATCAATATGGAAAGTGAACTTCATAGTTGAATATGTGTATCCATACATTGTGATGCTCTGAAACTTTCAGAAAAGATTAATGTGGATCAATATGTACCAAATGGAACAGTTGTCAAATAGAGTAAGTGGGGAAAGATGTAGAACAGTAGATACAGTGTAAAACCAGAGGAATGGAGATACACATGTATATTGTCATATATTATATACATTTATGCTTGTGTAAACATGGAATATCCCTGGGAAAATACATAGAAACTGGGTACCAGTGGTTGCCTTTGAGTGGGAAATGGTGGGTTAAGGCAAAAGACTCATTTTCCACTGTATCCTTTTAAACTGATTTTTTCTTACCATGTGCATATATTACTTATTAAAATATTTTTTAATTAGTTAAATAAGTATTCTGACTATCCGGTTTTTTGATGTCATTCTTGATGGGAATGTTGTAGTTGCTCTGATTCTTCAGTGTTGTGAGATTGACTGGGGAGACTGGTGATCTTTTCATAAACATGAGATTAATTCTTTCAGTTATACCCAAAAGTGCAGATATTGGGAAAAGAGCAGATAAGGCTTTTCTGATTTATAGAAGCACCATGAACCATATAGGTTCTTTTCTAAAATTTGACACTAAGAGAACATTTATAGACTTCTGGTGGCACCTTTATTAGGAAGCGCTTTAATCCAGTTTAAAAACCATTTTTTTTTAGCACTCAACTGTAGAGACTTTTCATACTAATAATGTTTGTCTCATTTCAGGATCAGTTTTTCCTACCTCTGCCCAGCTTCCTGGTACTTCACTGTGCCCACAGTGAGCCCATTTCCACGTCAGCGGGTGGCATTCCTAGGACTCTTCTTCATATCCTGTCTCCTTTTACTTATGTTAATCATGGACTTTCGGCGTTGGGGTGCTTCATTACCACGAGATAGGCAATATGAAAGGTGAGTCAGCTTTAGGTCACTTTGATCAGACTTGGCATTGAAGTCATAAATGTTTTGACATTTAACACACTACTACCTTTGACCCTTTGGGGAATACTGCACTTTTATTAGTAGAATTGCATGCCACTTATTACATAAAGATATTAAGCCCCATTTTGGCAAAGTTCACTTTTGATTTAGGAATGTTGATGGTGCATTTTAACCATGAAAGGATCTTTCTATATTCTTGTTTTGGTGGGCTGACTTATTGAATGCATAAATGTTTAGGATTATTATGTATTCTTGATGAATGAACCCTTTATTATTATTAAATGATTCTTTTTATCCTTGATTGTATTCTTTGCTCTGAAATATACTAGTCTGGTAGTCTGGTATTAATATAATTAATTCAGCTTTCTTTTGATTAGTGTTATCATTATAGATGTTTTCCCATCTTTTTAGTTTTAGCCTTTATGTCTTTATATTTTATATCTATCTAGTCTTTTTATAAGTAACTGCTTTTTATCCAGTCTGACAATGTCTGCCTTTTATTTGAAGTGTTTAGGCCATTTGCACTGCATGTGATTATTGATTATGCTTAGGCTTAAATCTATCTTGCTATTTGTTTTCTCCTCGTCACATCTGTTCTGTTTGCTTTTTCTCTTTTTCTCCCTTCTTTTGAATTGAGTACATTTTTAATATTCCATTTTATCTCTTTTGTGGGCTGAGTAGATATAACTCTGGGTTTTTTAATTAAAAAAAAATTTTTTTTAATGGTTGCTTTAGGGTTTAGGGTTTATAGTATACATCTTTAACTTATCATAGACTACCTTCAAGTAATATAATTCCTCTTTCCACATACCTCTATCTCTTCCCCTCAGCCTTTGTGCTATTGTGTTTATACATTTTCCTTCTACATATGTTATAAACTCCACCATATATTGTTATTATTTTTGCTTTTAACATTTAATTGTCTTTTAAAGAGATTTCAAAAATAAAAAAAGGCTAATATATTTACCATTTCTGGGCCTCTTCATTCCTTTGTATTGTAGTTCATATTGCCACCTGGTATAGTGTTCATTTTGCCTAAGGGACTTCCTTTAACATTTCTGGTAGTATGAGTTTGTAGTTGGTGAGTTCTTTTAATTTTTATGACCAAAAAAGTCATTTTGCTTTCCTTTGAAAATATTCATTGGGTATGGAGCTCTAGGTTGATCTTTTTTTTCTTTCATTACTTTAGAAACGATGCTTCACTGTCTTCTGAAGTGCATTCTTTCTGAGGAGAAGTCGGCTGTAATTCCTACATCTTGTTCTCTGTACATCATGTGTCTTTCCTCTGGCTGCTTTTTACATTTTATCACTGGTTTTAAGCAATTTGATTATGATGTGCCTTGGTATAGTTTTCTTCATGATTCTTTTGCTTGTGATTTGTTGATTCTTAAATCTATGGACTTATACTTTTTGATCAAACGCAGAAAAATTTTGACCATTATTTCTTCAAATATTTTTTCCTGACCTCTTTCACTTCTCCTTTGGTGTCTCCAATCACGTATATATTGAACCATGTGAAGTTTTCTCACAGTTCATTCTTTTTTTTCCCAGTCTTTTTTCTCTCTGTTTCTTTCTGGATATTTTATATTGCTGTGTCTTCCAGTTCACTAGTATTTTCTTCTATAAAGTCTAATCTGTTAATTCTGTCCAGTGAGAGCTGAATACCTTTTTTTTTTTTAACAGAAAATATATCTGAATTATTTGATCTAGTTTTAATACCTTACCAGTTATGTAGAAGATCTGTATTCCTTTATAGCAATGATTCATTTTGCTATTGTTTTTTGAGGTTAGTTTCTGATTAGGCTACAAAATGAAATGATGACATATTGTGTTCATCATCAACATGACTTTCTCTTTGTTGCTTCTGAGACAGTATTAAGGAGACTTTGGGCTGCAAGTGCCGGTCAAACTGACTTAAATAAAAAGAAAGTTTATTGGCTCACATAACTAGAAGTCCAGGGGTAAAGGGACCATAAGTTCAACATTGGCTATCAGGATAAGAAGCTCTGTCTCTGTTTTCTACAGCACCAACTTTCTGAGTGGTTGTAAAATAGCAGCCAGTAGCCACTAGGTCTACTTGCATCCATACTCATATCCTGCAGGAGAGAAACAGGCCTGCCTTCTATGCTCTTGTGTAAGAATGAAGAGGGCCCTTCCTGGAAACCTCCAGTAGCCCTTTCCTTCAATCTTTTCTGGTCAGAAATGGGACACGTGACCACTCCCCTTAATATTTCTGGGTTGTTCTGTCCCCAGAATTTATTTTCACTTCACTTTTGTCATTCATTCATTCAGCAAGCATTTATTGAGCAACCATTATGTGCTGGGTGATGATAAGCACCAGGACATGGACACTTCGGTACCTTTTCTCAAGAAGTTTATGTTTCCAGCCTTTCCTCCCCTAGTAGCTCAATTCATTTGTATTTTTCCTTCTTTCTTTCTGAAGAAGGAACATTTGTTTAGATGACTATAGTTGTCAACAATCGGCCTTAAGCAGCCTGTTAGTTTCAGAGAACTAAATCCATAATGAGTTTTTTTTAATGCTTATTGAGATTTTTCTTGACGCATCTAAGCACAGTTTTCCACTGGAAGACAGCATGATCTAATTATGGAATTCTATGTGGGTTAATATGGCTAGAATAAAGACTGTTAGGGAGTGAGTGGTGAGCTGTGTGACTGGAGAGGTAAATCGAGCTGAGCCTGTTAAGTCATTTGAGGGGGTTTAGACATTATCTTAAGGGCAGAGGGAAGGCTTTAAAGAGTGATATGATTGGAATTTTTTTTAAAGATTTTTTATTTATTTGACAGAGACACAGCGAGAGAGGGAACACAAACAGGGGAATGGGAGAGGGAGAAGCAGGCTTCCCGCTGAGCAGGGAGCCCGATGTGGGGTTTGATCCCAGGACCCTGGGATCGTGACCTGAGCCGAAGGCAGACACTTAACAACTGAGTCACCCAGGCGCCCCTGGAATTTCTTTTTAAAGAAAGTTCACTTTAGTGGCATCGTGGAGAAGGAATTGGAGGGGAATAAACATGAAAGGAGGGAGATGAACTGGAATACTCCAGTAGAGATGATGGTCGCCTGAACTTGGGTGAAAGCAGCGATGCATTTGAGGGATATGTGGGAGTTAGAGTGATCTGATATTCTTGTCTACCACTATACCCCAAGTGGTCAGATGTGATAAATACTTAAGTTGAATTAATTGCAACAAGTTAGCTACAAAGCTAAGGGACACACTGTGCCTGTGTGGTTATCTTACCAAAGTCCTGACACCCTGTAATGCTCTGGTTGAGCAGCCAGCAGCCATATAGCCTAGAGCTTCTGTTCTTTAATGAAAGGTTATGTGCGTATTGCTACAAATTACTATGTATCATTACATTTCACTCCTGGCAGCCCCTGTGAGTCATTTCAGAAGCAAACATTCATTGAGAGCTTGCTGTGTGCTTGACACTGTTGTAGATACTAAGGTACAAAGATGAATAAATCGTGGCTTATGAACTCCTAGAGTTCATAATCTAGTTAGGGAGGCTGATGTGAAGGAAGAATTATTTCCCAATGAGATAATAGTTTATATATATATCTATGTAGAATCAGGAACTGTACACAGTCAAGAAGCAGGAACAAAGTTAAGAATCAGAAATTAATCAGAAGAGGCCCATGAGTAACTGAAGTCGATATTAAGTTCATGAACTAAAAGCGCAGGTACTTTACTGATAAGATCGTCTTTCCCACAGAACCTGTTTGCTTTTATTTTATTTTATTTATTTTTTTAAGATTTTATTTATTTATTTGAGAGAGAGAGACAGAGATAGTGAGAGAGCACGAGCAGGGAGGAGAGAGAGAAGCAGGCTCCCTCTGAGCAGGGAATCCGACGTGGGGCTTGATCCTAGGACCCTGGGATCATGGCCTGAGCTGAGGGCAGACACTTAACCAACTGAGCCACCCAGGCGCCCCATGTTTGCTTTTATTTTATACACTGTGTTAATTAGCTTGTTTTTGTCTTGTCTCAGAACACACCAGATAAACAGCAAATTAGATGGTGGTAGTAGGAAGCGTATGCTGGTCAATAGATATGGGCACACTGATAACAACTGTCAATGAATAATATGCTGGCATCTTGACAGTGAGGCAGGAGAGAGTCTTTTATTTGAAATAATCTTGATTTTTCTGTTCTCTAATTCCATTTTCTGCCCTGTAGATATACATCGAAGATAATGGGCGGCATTATCTGCATTTAAAATATTCCTTCCAGAATTTTTTTCTTCCTGGTTGCTAATATTGCTTAAATACTGGTGAGCTCTAGCTGATGACAAGACGATTAAGCAAATAATTAGGAATTGATGGAAGTACTTTAGTTCAATAGCTTATAAAAAAATAGGACAAGTGCCTATCTTTGTGATTTTTATATTATATACATATAATATGGTCATATTTTTCCAACTTAAATTGTTCCAGTTCGCCTGATGAAATTGTATCAGTAGTTTGTATTGAAAAAAATATTTTAATTTGAATTTTTTTCAGCCATTGGTGGAACTTAGCATATTTCTTCTGAGGCGATGTGACCCAGGATTTTAGAAGCCTGCATGAGGGTTTTCCCTCTGTAGTTTCAAAACTGAAGAGTTGTATTTGTTTGTTTATTATGAACATGTACCCACATTGCTGCAAGAAGGAGAAAGCAGGTTTGCATCAGAACTAGAATTTAAGAAAAGATAAATTTAGAGAGTGATGGGGTATCAGTAAGGATAGAATCCAGAGCTGTTTTTAATAGACTTTATTTTTTAGAGCAGTTTTAGGTTCTCAGCTAAATTGAGCAGAAGTACAGAGGTTTCCCAGATACCCTCTACCCATACACGCATAGCAAAGCTATTTTTAAGAAAAATTTTTCTTAGATGTGTGTTTTAATCAACTCTGTATCTGTCATGTGCCACATAAGTAGTGCTCCAACAACTTCATCAGACTTAATACATATTTT